ATACATCCAACTGGGGGTGGGGAGGGGGGAAAGCTTGCCCTACTCTTTGTAGATATTGCTAAGGTTTGAAATGGGAAAGGGGAAAGAAGGGATAGAGAATCTCCCAGTTTAGTGGTGCAGTGAATCCTCTGCTTGGGTCTCTCTTAACGTTTATTTCTGAAGCTAGTGAACTTTCATTGTCCTGTGGCCTCATATTTATAGAGCTTCTTAACTGTTTTGTACCTCAAGTTATTTTTACATATCTTTGAAGATTGAGATTATGAATTATGTTGAATTTAACCTTTTTCCTTGGAGAATTTGCCTCTGATATCTTTCTAATTTAATCTTAGTGTATTCTAGGAATAGTTTTCCTTACGGACAACTTCTCAGCCATTGTGATAGTAATTTAGTAAGAAATAACAGATGTTAATCAAGTATGTGTGTGTTCTGTCCTCCTCTGATTTCTCTGACTCTGATTCCTTAATTTGCAGTGATGTCTTAGAAGTGGAACAAGTATCCTCTGGGCTTTTTGACTTCAGCAACAACAGCCAGTGAGGCATCTCTTAAGTTCCAGTGCATTCTAGTCTCTTGTGTGTCCTGAAAGGTAGCAGGAGCATTTCTGGGGTCACACTGATGTTTTCTTAAAGCAGAGTTTCCTATGTGTTATGGTGCTGCTATAAGATGTTTCTTTTTAAACCTGTTAATTCTTGGAGAATGACTTGTTCAAGTTTTTCATGTGGAGGGTTTGTTTTTTTTTTCCTTTTCTTTTTTCTACCAATTGGTAGTGGATCAAAATCCTATCCTAAATAATTGAATTTTTAATGTCATAGTCTGAGGAAATACCACTCTCTTTCCTCAGTCATTTCAAATGTTCTGTGTCATCTGCTCTAGCACATACTTTGGACTCCATTACAGGTGACCATTTCTCCCTCCTCAATAGGTGAGGCATCCTCAGTGTTTTCTAATCATTTTAAACTGAATTTGATAAGCAGCTAAAAACAAACTTAGTCTGAGACTTTTGCTTAATATATAGTTATAGAAGTAGCAATTATTTTGAAAATTACTGTTGACTGCTCTTTAAGACCACACCTGTATGCCAGGAGGCTACAGTTTACACCATTGGACTCTTTATAGGCAACCAGCAGACTGGTTGCAGTGGATGAAATTGTCACAGTAGCCTTGCCTGGGCTAGGCTGTGCGGTATCCCTTTCAGGTGATTCAATCTTGCCCAACCCAAGGACCAGTCTGGCTGGAGAACATCTAGCCCTTTCCTTGCTTCAGTGCCACCTTTTTTAGGCAAGGAGCCAAGAAGTTACTTTATAAAGCAGTGAATACTTCAGATAAATTTACAGCTATAGCTCCTGAAGAGCAGAGAAGATTGACCACCACTGATTTTAATTCTCCAATATATAAGGAATTTAGAGTAATGTGTGCACGTGCCCATGCATGCCTGTGTTTCTGGGGAGCTCTTGCACTAGGCATCTGGGCTGCACTTTGAATGACACACTTGTGGCTTTAGTAGATTTCATTGTTTTTTAATTGTTGTTCGTTTCTTTTCATTAAAGGTTTTAATCAGCTAGACAGATCATTTTGTATTTAATGGCAGAAACTTTGGTACATTAACTTTTAATGAATGAGCTTGCATTGTGAAGTAAGAGCCTACAGAAGGCAACTGTTGTCAGTGAGATTTCTGGCTCCAGAGGCCAGTACTTGGTGGCTTTTCTGAGCAGCCAGCAGTTGCTCCCATCAATGATGTCTAGCTGTGTAGAGGAGGGTACGCTGTGCACTCTCCAGGTATGAGGGTATGTAACTTTGGCTCTTAAAATTATGTACACATACACACTTTATATATATGTATGTATGTATGTATGAAAACATGAAATTAGTTTGTCAAAAATGTGTGTGTTTAGTATTTTAGCTTAGTGCAACTATTTCCACATTATTTATTAAATTGATCTAAGACACTTTGTTGTTGACACCTTGGATATTAATGTTCAAGGGGGCAATGTGTATTCCTTTAGATTGTTAAAACTTAATTGCTATGATTTGTAGTAAATTAACTTTTAAAATATATTTCAGCCCTTCTGTAGTGTAATAGGGCTCTTACAGGGTGGGAAGGGTTTTGATTTTCCAGTAACTAATTAAACAAAATGGCTTCATTATGTATCTTGATCTATAGGAGTTTCAGTATGATCCCAGGAACATCTACTGGGGATGAATGTTTTAGGCAGATTGTGATGATGCTTTAAAAAACAAACTAACTAAACTAAGTAACTTGGGGAGCCAGGACATTTCAAATCCATACAGACTCCTATAACTTATATATATTCCTTAGTTACGTGGAAAACAGATTTCATTTCAACTTCATGTATCAATGTGTTGGAGAGGCAGACTCCCCCCGCCCACCCCAATTATGTTGCACAACTGAGGTTGCTATTCAGTAAAATGAGTAGAATAGTCAATCATTCAATGGCTTGAATATGCAGTGACAAGAGGCCAAATAAATTGTTTGTGAATAATAAAGAAGTTCGGTTTAGCCTGTTAGACCCTGAAAACCAAGCTACAAATCACAGGCAGTAAGTTGTTATAAGTTCATAAAGGAATGATGGTCTACCTAGCTCCTATTCACATAAATCCATTCACATAAACCAGATGGTTAATTAAAAAGTACTTGCTAAGCTGGGCATGGTGGCACACTCCTGTAATCCCAGTGGATCCAGAGACTAAGACAGGAGGAACATGAATTCAAGGCCAGCCTCAGCAAAAGCAAGGCTCTAAGCAACTCATAGAGACCCTGTCTCTAAATAAAATACAAAATAGGGCTGGGGATGTGGCTCAGTGGTTGAGTGCCCCTGAGTTCAATCCCTGGTACTGTGCCACCCACAACCCCTACCCCATCCCCCAGAAAAGGTACTTGCTGTCTCCCAAAACGGGAATGGGAATAGCTAAGTCTCCTCTTCTAATGGAATTTGGTCACAGAGTAAAGTATTCAGGCTAGGTCTCAACCAAGTCATGTAGATGTTTAAGCATCCTAAAATAGCAGCCTGAGTAGTCATATAAAGAAGTTGATTTTCAGGAATATCAGCATGGGCCTCTCCTTACCGTTGCTCAACTAAGCATAAATGACCATTCTTTAAAACAAAACCAAGAAAAGCTCTCCAAATGAGCAGGGAAACACTCCCACCCAGAAACTCGAGTAATATTTGTTTTTTTACTTTTTCATGCTTCCATGTGGTTTCTTTTCTGCTTTTAACCATTGGAATTTTCTACCTGCTATGTTCTTCTTTGGAAAATACCAATTCGGAAATGCTGCCTTTCAAATCAATGCCTTGAGTATCCATATTGTTGAGTTCATTGTTGCTGTTCAAGAAGTGTCCCCATTTTACAACTTTATGCACACATCTGGCAAATCATCGACATGAGCATTCAACAGTACTGGGGTGGGATTGGGGGTGGGGGCAGGGGCTCACCAACAGAGCTGGCCCTGTTGGCAGTGCCTGGGAAGGCACCACCTGTGAGGGCCAGATACAGGGTTGGTAAGCACAGTTAGGGAAATTTCTACTTAGCCTCCGTTTTGAATGATTTTAAGAAATTTTGTATATGGAGGATCGAAATGCTTATATATTTATTGAAATCCTTTTATCTTATTTGAAATTAAAATTATTTGGTAAATAACAGTTTGATATTTGGGGAGGGTTTTGAAGGGGAGGTAATGCCGTTGATAAATTATAAGCCTGTTAATTCTGCAGAAAGGTACTGTTAGTGACTAATAGGATGCCTTTGTTTTGTACATGATCCAAATCTTTGTTTTACATTTCTTTTATCCAAAATATTTAGGCATCTTACATTTTCAACCAAAATTTCAATTATATACTGTGATTTTTATTTGTTGCAATACATTAAAATTTCAGAGGTACTTTGGGGCTCAAAAGCTTGGATTTTTAAGACAGTATGTGCATTTCACATAATAAAGCTGTTAATGGTGAGCAAAGTATTATATACTAACTAGATTTTTCCACATCTGTATAGTATATTATATGTATTTTGTGGTATTGAGAATATAGAAAGTTTAGAGTGTCAAACATGCGTTTAATGTGTATTTTTAAACAAATTTATGGCAATTAAAATATTTGGAGACAAGGGTATCACATTTCAATTTGTAAAAATCTTTTTAACTCTGTGTCATTAAGATGCTTTGTATAATGCCAAACCATAGCTGGAGAAACTAAGTTTAATAAATATCAAATAGATTTTCTGTATTAAAGTTTATAAACACTGTGCACTTTAGACTTCTTCAGCTCTTACTTTGCCCTTTTCATGCAATTGCTGGTTTGCATTTTAGGATTCAGCACTACTAAAGTCTGGCCCCACCACCACAGGTCACATTTTCTGATTACAGAAATTCTGAACTTTCTGGCCTGGTTCCTTGTGTAATGTTCACAATTGCCCTGCCCTAAACAGAAATCTCTGTTCCTTTTTGATGTTTTCAGCGGCTTAGGCTTTTATTGTCTTATTAAACTAAATTTTTCTTTCAGTTCTGCTTCATATTCAGAGACTCATAAACAAACCTGTACACATCATCAGGTGGCAAGTGCCAGCCTTGCCTATCTTGATAGCTCACTAAAGAGTTCTTTACAGATTGGGGTTGTAGCTCAGCGATAGAGTACTTGCCTAGCATGTGTGAGGCACTGGGTTCAATCCTCAGCACCACATAAAAAATAAGTACATAAAATAAAAATATTGTGTCCCTCTACAACTAAAAAAAAAGTACTTAACATGGAGGAAAGGGCCAGGATCCAGGGCCACAACTTAGAAAATTGCCAAGACTGACTGTGTATCTCTTGTGAATTTTTTTGCTTTTAACTTGCATTATATTCTTAATTAGATTCTTGAAAAATTGTTAACTTTCCCCACACTTTCCATATGGAGAAGTTGAACAGATCATTATTAGGCAATGTTTGTTTGTTTCTATATTGTACCAAATGAATCCTCCTTCAAGTTTGAATTTCAGACTGCCAGAATTTCAACTTGAGACATTTAATAGTATCCATAGAAAAATAAACTCTAAACTTAGACGTATAAACTTATCCACATATCAGCATTCTAAGAAGAAATGGAGACCAATTGAAAGCATACATCTGTCTTTAAATATTAAAAACACAAAATTGCTTCACTTTTGTATCTCCAGCCCAAATGCAGTTAATCAATATTCCATAGAACGGAGCATTGTTGGAGGTGACTGCTGTCCTTTCTTCCCCTGTCATTCCTGGGCCACACTTAGGGAACAGCGTCTTTTTCTGGGGAGGGAAAAATGAGTTTTTAGACTCTTGAATCTAGGAGTACCCAGGGCCGCATCTGCTGCATTTCCCTTGTCTTTGCTTGATCTGTCCAGTCTCAGAAAGGCACCACTCTTTTTAATAGTAGTTCCTAACTCCTGAGGGATTCTTCTCCATGGAGCTCACAGTCTCAGCCCCCCTTTATTGTTAGGCCTCTGTGTGTCCTCATCTTGTTTCTGCCCAGTTTCCCAGGGGCCTCTGCCCCAGCCCTCACCCAGGTTTGCAGAGTACCTGCAGAGTCTCGTGATACATTCAGAGTCGTCCCGGCAGGAGGCTCCAATGGGCCTGAGGGACACCCCTCTCCAGAAGGGGGTCATTCTCCGTGACCTTCTCTTTCCTGAACTCAGTTCTGATATTGGGGAGCCATCTGCCTGTGGAGCAAAGACAAATGCACCTCAAGTAGGGAAGTTTACAACTGTTGCATTCCTTGGAAGAAGGGTCATCCCCAGGTACTGCAGATTAAGCAGGATCCATTCCTTAAAACCAAGTCCAGCTCTCAGGGGTCCATCTAAAGTTCTCCTACTGCCACTGTTGTGTCCACACATACTTCTTTTTTCCTTACCTGGCCCAACAGCAGCAGGCAAATCATGAGTACTGCAAGGAGTTTGAGATGCCACATCTTGGCAGAAGGAGGATGTTGGAGCCTAAAAGCCAGAGACTGTTCCCACTTCCTTTTATAGACATCTGCCTTCATGGTTGCCAGGTGAGATAGGAGCAAAGTTTATATTTGTAATCAGGATCAATTTAATAAGTTAATGTCTACCAGAGGAATGTGCTCAAGGGCTACCTTTCAGGCACGTTGTATTTACTGATTTCTCATCTGGACTTTGAGTAATTGTGTTGCTGGCATGGACCCTTTCACCCATTATAACAAAAGTTAGAACTGCCCCTCCTGTATGAAAGCCACGTGAAACCTCTGAGGGAGACAAGGAATCTAGCCACATTTCTGTTTTAAAATAGTTTAATGCACTAGGGGGGTATAGCTTGGTGGTAGAGCGTATGCTAATATTGGGTTCAACCACCCCCCCATCCTAAAATAGCTCTGTGACGTCACTAATCAAAATAGAATTCTAATAATAAAGTCTTCAGAAATGATGCCCTCTTTCATCCTTGTCTAGGTAAAAAGTCCTGATATATTGTGTACAGGCAATTGGATATGGCCCTGGTGTCTCTTCTGTGAAAGGAGATTTCAGCAAACAGTCTACAGTGCCCCAGAGCTCCCAGCTGCATAGATGGTTTGTTACTCTAATATCTATACAATCTCATCTTCCAGCTGGGAAGACCCGGCTATGGAAAATTTAAAACCTGGTCTACCTTTTTCAGGGGGAGTGCAGTCAAAACTGGTAGGGGAGCTATGGGTGAACTGAATAAATGATTATAGATTGGTTTTGTTTTTAAGAAGATAGGAATGGGGAGGTGACAGGAGCACCTAAATCTGTGAGAGCTTGTGTAGTAACATTGAATTATGGGTCTCCTTCCCAATCATTAGGGGTCTTGGTAGAGTATTTTCTTCCAACAGTCTTCAGGGCTGCAGGAACAAGGCTAAGAGAACTTAAAAAGCCCAAAACATCCATTAGCAGGGATCACTGCAGGTGTCCGGATCAAGAGAGGACATGTTATGGGCATGGTCACTAATAGAATTCTAATAATAGGTCTCCAGCAGCCGTGCAAGTAAGAGGGTGCTTCTTGCCAAGGGAGAAGAGGGTAGTATGGTGAACCTTAAAAAAAAAATGGCAGAAGGTGGGGTGTGTCCACAGATCTGTCTGTCCTGGTTCCAGTTCTCTTGGGACCATGGAACTAGGCCTGGAGGGAGGCACCACTGTTTCAACTTTAAGAATGTTTGAGAAATAGACATATTGAACCCAACTAACCAATCCTAAAAATTCAAGACTTAATTTGTTGTTCCCTTCCTTTATCCCTGAGTTTGAACATGATGACCCCAGGTATAGGACTAAGTAAAAACCTTTACAGGGTTGAGGAGAGGCTCTGGTGACCTAGTGAATATTGACTAAGAACACAAATCTGATTAGATAAGCAAAAGACTCAACATGATGTCCTAGAACCAATTGGGTCTGTGGGCTCAGTGCCAGCCTCCATCTGACATGGGTTCTCCTAGTCTGCACTTCTGCCTTTTTTGGGGGGTGGGGTACTGGGGATTGAGCCCAGCAGTGCTTTAGCACTGAGCTACATCCCCAGACATTTTTATCTTTTTGAGACAGTGTCTTGCTAAGTTACTGAGAATGGCCTCAAACATGTGATACTCCTGCCCCCTGAGTCACTGGGATTACAGGCATGTGCTGCTGCACCTGGCCCCACTTCTGGCTTTCTGTATTCAAGCAAAATCAAACTAGCCATTGTGTTAATTTCTAAAGTCAACCCCACAGAGAAGGAAAGAACTTGAAGCCCTTAGCCCACTGTGTGTAGGAAAAAGGACCATCCTCATGGGTGTAGCAACACTGCTGGAATCTTTGGGCCTCAAGCCTCTATCTTACATGCCACCCCTCTTCCCAAAAGAATGGTTAGGTATGTTCTGTAGAAGGAAAAATTGCTAGAGGAATAATTTTAAAGTGCCCAACCTGTTGTTTTAAACTAAATATGGAACAAAAATCAAACTTTGAAACGTGGCATCAGACAGCACTTAGCTGTATTGGCAGAAGTTAGTTACCCTCAGCCAGTCACGTGCTTGAGAGGCTGTGTAAACCTTATTCCTGAAAGATGAACAATTCATGGGCACTCTGCAATAAAGTATTTTGCTGAATGAACAATTCCTCCATCCTCCAGTAGAAAGGCCTTTGCAGCTGTTGACAATTTCAGCCATAAGGAGAAAGAGACCAGAGCCTCAGTTCCTTGAACACCTGACCCTCTACAGGTCATGCCTTCCCCTTTTGGATTTAGTCTCTTGTTCTATCAGTGAGATGGGAGTAGATCTCGGGCCTTTGGAGCAGTGACATTTGGGGACTCAAAATGATTAATTTACAAGAAAATGAGACTGAAACAGGTTTGATAGTTGAGAGCTTGGTCACTCTGGATACAACTCCCAGGGACTTTCTGCTTCTGAGGTAAGTGCCTCGGATGAAACGGGAGAAAGAGGGTGCAGATACATGAGCAGCTGTGTGAAATACATTCCAGGTGGAGAGAGGAGATCATTAGGACTTAGCAGTAATTGGAACCTTTTTTGTTGTCCCTGAGCAGGAGCGCCTAATAAAAGATGAAAGACTTTGAAATGGAAAAACTTTTCCAGGTAATATTTCAACAAAGGGTCAAAGTGCATTTGCTTTGTAGCTGGCTGGCATTGGCAGACTTCTGGCCCTGCACTAGGTAGGCCTGTATCTTGGGCACTGTGTTGGAGAACTTCCTTCACTGGATGGCAGCCCATTGACAAAAAGCCCTGTAGGGGCAGAAGCATTTGGGAAAAGAAGAGTTAGATGGGGCAAATGGTTGTGCCATTGCAAGTTGAAGAGCCACACCTAGGGCTGGAAGCACCAAATGTACCTTCCTTAAAAGACTTAAGTTCTCCTTTGTGGACTTCTATGAATAGTCCTTAGAGTGATCCCAGAGCCCACAGTGTGTACAGAAAGAAGCACTAAGCTACAACTTAACCACACTCACAGATGCCTTAGCACCCCTTTGAGAGATTCATGCTCCCAAGTTCAGAGGGGAGCCCTTAGCAAGACACATGGACTTACAATAGGGTCCTCTCAGAAGAGCACTCCTGGGATGAAATGGATTCAGACCAACAAGTTCAGTGTCTGGTGTAAACTGAGAAGAGCTCATTTTTTTTTAATATTTATTTTTTAGTTTTAGGTGAACACAATATATTTTGTTTCTATGTGGTGCTGAGAATCGAACCCAGTGCTTCACACACGCTAGGCGAGCGTGCCATCACTCGAGCCACAACCCCAGCCCCTGACAAGAGCTAAATTTGATTGTTTCTGGTAGCTATCAAGGAGTTAAAGTCAAAGAACCAGAAAAATGTTAAAACAAGGCTGGGAAGATGGAATAGAGTGGCCATCTTTCCTAGGAGGCTTGGGGCCAAAAGCAGAGGGAGAAGGCTGGGGGTGTAGCTCAGTGGTGGAGCAAGCAGCCCTGGATTTGCAGAGGGCGAAAGAAAGACAGCCTATCGAGGCAGTTAGCTCCACCACCACCCCCTCCAGAATGATGCAAGGTAAGGATGGGTGCACTGACACCTCCTTCTAGCTCAGTTTTCATCAGATCCTCAAAGGAGTCTGTGACCCCAAGTATGCTGCAAGACCTGGCAGCAAGACATGGGGACAAAAATCTAAATGAAGAGCCAACCGTGTGGGGAAGGCAAGAGTTTTCCTCAAATAGCTACCCTGTTAAGTCTATGAACACATATCACTCATTTCACCAATAGCACAACCCAAGAACTTTATTCCATCGCAAGAAACTAAAAAAATGCAGGTTTCAGCAGGAGTGGTGGCACACATCTGTGATGTAACATAAGATGGAGCTCTGTGGGAAAGCACCCCCAGGTTCAGTCCCCAGTACAAAGAAAAAAAAGGTGCAGGTTTCTTGCCTGATTTCACACAGTGATAGTTTAAGTGGGTAGTCCTTGTTAGACATCCTCATATCCTGCCTCACAATTAATGCAATTTATCTTTTTTTTTTATTAATTTTGGCTAAGGACTATAGCAATCATTTGAAAAGGAAAGACAGCCTGAGTCAGAAGTTGAGCAACAGACTAGCAGGAAGTGTCCTTAGAAGTTTCTAAAAACAAAATATGGGCCCAAAGCATGAAACTGACGGGAAAATGGCACCTTTTCTACCAAAAAGGCAGTTCATTGTCTCCAAAGCAGGGGTAAACTTTCTCTACAGACTTTGTAGCCCAGAGGGTAAAAAAATTGTTGGCTCTATGGACTCATAATTCATTGAACACCTTTATCTCCTCCTTTTATAGCCTCGTTCCCTGAGGGTAAGGAAGGCCTGCCTGAGGAAAGGTTGTGTAACAGTTGTGTTTTTTTAAATATATTTTTTCTAGGTGTAAATTTTTTTTTTTTAAGAACCCACACTGTGATGCCAGACTTCACCATTCACTGCTGTATAGTTTTGGGCAAATTACTTAAGCTGCATCTGTTTTCTCAACTGCAAAATGAGTATTAAAAAAATACTTAATTCAAAGATTGTTGTGAAGTTTGTGTTCAAAGGATGTGAAGTTCATTTGTGTGGCTGAATAGCTGATACTGTGTAATTAGAATACAGTTTCTAGACTTTATGGTTACAATGGGAACAGAGGGGGCTGGGGATGTGGCTCAAGCGGTAGCGCGCTCGCCTGGCATGCGTGCGGCCAGGGTTCAATCCTCAGCACCACATACCAACAAAGATGTTGTGTCCGCCGAGAACTAAAAAATAAATATTAAAAAATTCTCTCTCTCTCTCTCTTTTCCCCTCTCACTCTCTCTTAAAAAAAAAAAAAAAAAAAAAAAAAAACAATGGGAACAGAGGGCCAAAACCCAACACTCCCTGCAGCACATGCCACCTACCACTGGTTAACTAGAGGAGCAGCTGAAGCTACTTAATTGTAGACAATAAAAGAGGCGAGTTCACTATTCACCAAAAACCCAGACTGAGGGAAACTATTAAGGACCAATACTGAGAAGCGAAGCTTCATGAACTTGAATATTAGCAATCACCCTAGGATTCTGCTCAAAAAATGTAAAGTCACAACGGTGTAGTCCATAATAAGTTTATTGTGTCTTCCAGACACTACCATACAGACTCCTCTCTCAGTCTTTCACAGGTGGAAAACCATTATCCAGATGAGTTGTTCACTTGTCATTTTCATAGGCAGCTGGATTCTTCCTCTTCGATTTCTCAAACTCCTGGGTCCCCCAGGTGTAGACAAGATAAAACACTACAAATGCTTTAAAAACCAAAAGGGAGAATAAACAGTGAGCACATAAAACAAAGGTCTCCACCCTCTAATTCTGACTTCCAGCAGTTTCCACCCTCCTGGTGCTAACTTCTAAGATTTTTGTTGTGGGGAGGGGGTGGGGGTATTGGGGATTGAACCCAAGGGTGCTGTACCACTTAGCTATATCTCCAGCTCTTTTATTTTTAAGACTTTTAAACTGGAGGATCAAGAAAGGTTCCTTGGGGCTGAGGATGTGGCTCAAGAGGTAGCGCACTCGCCAGGCATGCGTGCGGCCCGGGTTCAATTCTCAGCACCACATACAAAGATGTTGTATCCACTGAAAACTAAAAAATAAATATTAAAAATTCACTCTTTAAAAAAAAAGAAAGGTTCCTTAACACATCCATTTTACAGGAAACCAAAAGAAGGTAGACCACCCAGGAAGATTCCACACCAAATTTTCCCCCAAGTCTCCCCTGCTGCACATTAAACGAAAAAGGATAATTTGAGATAAAATTCACCTAACAAGCGTCACCATTTTAAGGTATACGCTTCAGTGTTCAAAATGTCATGCAACTGTCAGAACTATCTGTCGCACATTCAACAGGAGACATTTCGTCACTGATACGTGGATAAAGATGATCTCAGGGGAAGACGTTGGAGCCACCCAAGCGACCTTTGGCCGTTTTTTCAGGAAGACAAGTCTAGCTAAGGGCTGCCAGGAATATTCAGTGAGAAAGGTGTGCACGGTAGAGTGCCCGCTCACGGAAGGCACCGCAGTCCGGCCCCCAGCCGCCCGGCCTGGACACTCACGCGGCACCACGCGAAGGATGGACGCCTGAGTGCGGCGCAGGACATTGGGGATGCCCTTGGTGAAATAGTGCGGGAAGGCGCGCTGCTCGAAGGGCGACAAGCTGTAGGTGATCACATGCCGCATTCGCGCCAGATTCCCAAACTCGCGGCCCATGGTTGCGGCGGCTCTGTAAGGACCGAGGGCGGACAGGACCTTGACTTAGCCTGGAGACGACAACAGGCTGGGATCACCGACCCCAAGCCCGCCCCGGAACTCCTTAGCCTCCCCAGCCCAGGCGGCGCCCCCACGCTCCCACAGCTCACTCCCGCAGCCAGGTCACCTCACCCTCCACGGACACTGACCCAAGGATCTCCTAGCGTCACTTCCGGCAGGATCGGAAGCCGATCCCGGAGGCCGTGAAGTTACTTCCGGGAGATACCACTTTTCCTATGTTTCCGGGGGAAGACGCTGTTGCCCCGGGTTCTAAAGAGACGTGGCCTGCCCGGGTGACCCGGAGGTGGGCGGTGCTGGGGTGGGGTGCTGCTGCCTAGTCCCGAAGGTGGGGCTTAGTGGTGAACGTCTGGGTTCATGCGAGATTTGGGGGACCCGGTGCCCCCCGGGAGGCGCTCACAGTAGTCCTGGGCCTTTCCACGGAGCTTCAGGCTCCGGGAGCGGCCGGGTGACATAGAAATAGGGGAGAAAAAAGACGCCAGGGATGTAGCTCGGTGTAGAGCACTTGCCTAATATGCGTGAGGCCTTGGGTGACATCGCCAGCACCACAAAATAGTAGTAATAACAACAACGATAATAATTTTGAATTTTGGGGTCGGGGTGGCAGCTGACCTGGAGGGCCACGGTGGTCCAGAGCTTTGCGCCTGTGAGTCCTCCAGGCAGTGGAGAACGCCCCTGAGGCGCAGCTATCCTGCGGCAGCCTAATGCGAGATTTTATGGGGTTTTGTCCAGTAGCTAAAAAGGGGCTCTATTTTCAGACCATCAGCTACGCCAGTATCAGCTTTATCAATCGAGGCGCTGCACAGACTGGTGATTTACCTTGTACTCTAAGTGTGGGTTAATTTTCCTCAAGCAGATAGCCTCCTTGAGGGTGGTGCTGGGTTGCCCCTTGTTTCAGCTTTTCACGATGCACATTTACCTCGTTTTTCTAAAAAGTGAAAGGAAAGTGACCGTGACACTTGTAGCGATCAAAAGATCTTTAGTGTGGCACTGTCTGATTAACAGGGTAGGAAGAGAAAGAGCAGGGAAAAAGAGAGAGGAAGAGAACAAAGTGTTGGGGGGAGTGAGGTGGGAAAGCAAAGCGCAAAAGAGAAGAAAGAGGAAAGAGGGAGAAAGCGAGAGAAGAAAGAGAGAGCAAGAGAGGGGGGCCCAGCAGGAGTTTTTATAGCCAAATTATAATGGGGGTTTCTGGGTCTGTAAGCTGCCTTGTTGTCGTACAGTGATTGGATCATACAGTAGTTGCTAAGGGTGTCATCTTCTGCCTTCAGGTAGACGGGGCAGGGGTCAGACGTGGGTTTTCGTTGCACCAGACGGGTGGGGGTCGAATGTTCAGCCTTGAGTGGGGTTGAGTGTTCAGACTTGACGCAAACAAACGATAAGGAACCAGACAGGTAAGGGTCCAGTGTGCAGCCCACCTGCAGCCAACAGTTGTTCAGACTGCTCTGCAACTAACAAAAAGTAATATCTAATTTGGTCTCTGCTCCAAGGCAGGAGCATAAATACATAGAACAGTTAAGGATGAAAATACTGTACTGAATTCTACCACCATTTGGGTGATTAATAAAAAATAAAGCATTCATTTATTTACTAACCCCTGCAAACACTTCAAAACCTTTCAACCAAAATCTTTTCAGATGAATGTGCTAATCAAAGTAAGGACATCAAGATGTTATATTTTAATATTAGTTAAGGTTAAGAAGCTGGACATGGTGGCACACTCCTGATGACTCAGGAGGATTGCAAGTTCAAGGCCAGCCTCAGCAATTTAGTGAGACTCTGTCTCAATAATTTAAAATAAATAAATGAAGTACTGGGGATGTAGCTCAATGGAAGAGTGTTCCTGGGTTCAATCTCCAATACCAAAAAAAAAAAAAAAAAAAAATCACAGTTAAAGGCCGTGTCCTCTTTTAAAACACATCACAAGCACACTGCAATTTAACAAGTACAAGTCCTATATTAAGCCACTAAGAAGGACTGAGCAACCTAACATTTCCCTGCTCTTTGGAATTTCTATGTCAATTGTGATTTTTCTCTCACCCTCCATTCAACACTCAGTAAAATAATTACTTATTTTAAGCACCTAAAAGTGAGAGAACTGGTGAGGATGAGTTGAAAGGAAGAGTAAACCCAATATCACAAATTGCATACCAAAAGGTCTGAGTATCATCACGAATGATTAGCTTTTCTACATGCCTTGGGAGTTTTGACAGACACCCAAGAACATTTTAAGAATCCTAATTTCTCGCTGGCACACACCTGTAATCCCAGTAGCTTGGGAGGCTGAGGCAGGAGGATCGTGAGTTCAAAGCCAGCTTCAGTAAAAGGGAGGCACTAAGCAACTCAGTGAGACCCTGTCTCTAAATAAATTACCATAAAAAAAAAAAACAGTTGGGGATGTGGCTCAGTGCCCCGGGGTTCAATCCCTGGTAACCCCCACCTGAAAAAAGAATCCTAATTTCTGTTTTTTTTTTTTTAATAAAAGGAAAGATTTTATTTTAAAATAATTCTTCAATTTCTCTTAGACTTTCAACTCCATCGCTAGTTCATTAGCATAACAATAACAGCAGATTTTAAGTAAATTCCAGGGAGAAAGGGAAAGTTACATAATCAAGTCAATCTGTCCTAATGAGGACAAATTGGATAATTAGGATAATCAGCTGATTGCTATAGACCTGATAAAAATTATCTTCAGCTAGGGATCCTTGAGGCCTGATTGCAGAAGGGATGCTAGTCAACCCACACACCTAAAATTTATTTAAGAGACCAAGCTAGGGGTTTCTGGCCTTTAGGAAGAAGACAGGCATGGGGAAATGTTTTCCTTGTTAGTTCTCCCAAGCCATGGCACCTCCCAGCAAATTTCTCATTTGGTTTTGCTGTTTTGCCTGGCTATGTTTTCATGTTAGTCTTGGTTCTCAGACTTCTAGGGGAGAAGCTCAGATTGCAGCTAATGCTGAGTTGGAATCTGAGGCAGAACCTTGGTCGGTGCTGCAACCTAAAGATGGGACACCCAGCCCTGGCCACCTTTTCAAGTTTCTGTCTGATGGGCGAGGTGGAGCCCCTAGGCTGCAGCCAGACTCCAGAGCTTTGCACTACATGAAGAAGCTCTATAAGATGTATGCTACGAAGGAGGGGATTCCCAAATCCACTAGAAGTCACCTATACAACACCATTCGGCTCTTCACTCCCAGTTCCCTGCACAAACAGGCTCTTGGACAACAGGTGACAGGTGTGTAAAAGCAAATTTCTTAACTGGGTAGAGTGACGATGTTATAAGCTTAGATGCATCTGTATTTCCATGACAGACAGACTAGAGCAGTATGTGTGTCTAAAAGACGGGGGATTGAACCCAGAGCCTTGCACATGCTGGGCAAGTACTTGACCACTGAGCTACACCCCAGCCCTTTTGTATTTTTCATTTTTGAGATAGGGTCTCACTAAATTGCCTATGCTGGCCTCAAACTTATGATTCTCCTGCCTCAGCTTCCAGAGTAGCTGAAATTACAGGCCTGCCCCACTGTGCCCTGCTGGGTTTTGCTTCTTGAATTGGGTTTTATTTTGTAGGATACTCGATATCCAATTGAAACAAATTTGATAATTGATCACATTCTTTCTTTTTTTTGTAGGGAGTCCCGGGGGATTGAACTCAGAGGCACTTGACTACTGAGCCACATCCCCAGCCCTATTTTGTATTTTACTTAGAGACAGGGTCTCACTGAGTTGCTTAGTGCTTCCTTTTTACTGAGGCTAGCTTTGAACTGGCAATCCTCCTGCCTCAGCCTCCCAAGCTGCTGGGATTATAGGCACGCACCACAGCACCTGGCTTATGTTTTCTTTCTAATGCTGTCATTAGCTAATGTGGACTCACATGATAGGATTTTAGCACTGAAAGAGACCTAATGGCTTTGAAGGCTGAGGAAAGTGCTGGAGAAGCTTAGCATCTGTTTCTGTTCACCAAGCTGTTGGAAATGTCCTATATCTGATATGCCCAGTATGTTCTGTGTCAAACAGGATAGTCTCTTGTTTGTTGCTTTCTGTGAGGTCCTCATCTGGTACAGTAGGTCCTTAAGAACAAAGTGTCAGGGCTGGGGATGTAGCTAAGTGGTAGGGTGCTTGTTTAGATATGTGAGGCCCTGAGTTTCATTCCTACCATTGCAAAAACGAAACACCAAAGTGTAAGTCAACAATTGGAGCAGTTCGTTGTCTTAGGTGTGAGGAGTAGTGCTTTAGAAAAAGTACTTTCTCTAGCTCATGATGTAAAGAAAATCATTCTAAACAACCAGGGCTTGTGGCCATTTAAATGCCTTTCATTTTTACTCTAGAGGCATCAGAGCCTCCTTTTTTTTTTTTTTTTTTTTTTTTTTGTTAATCTCAAGTGTGCTAAATTAAATGGGCAGTCAAGTGGTTTTAATTGATTTAATTCACTGGGGCTTAGATTATTGTTTAAACAAGGCTGAGTGTTTTAAATTACTATGATGGTTTTTCCCTGTAGAATGTCTCCAAAAGAAAAATACTACTTATTAGCTTCCTGTGTTTGGAGCAGGTTGTTAACATTGGAACTTCAGAATGTAATAATTCCCTGTTGCTTTAATTTACCATCAAAGTTGTTCTGACATTCTGGAGATAAAATATCCATCGATGGTTCCTAGGAAATAGGGTACCAATTACCTTTTCTATACATCTATTTTTAGTCCCTCCCCTCATTGTCTTTGAGGCTTGAGGAAATGCAGGGAAAGAGAAAGGAGATTGCATATTGCTAGTACAATTCCTAGATTTGACTTCTAATTACATCTGATTTGTATGCAAGCACCACTAACTGGTGAATCATTTTTTCCTTTCAGGAATCTTTCCATCAGTGGACCTGCTGTTTAATCTGGATCGTGTTACTGCCGTCGAACACTTACTCAAATCTGTCTTGCTCTACACTTTCAATAATTCAGTTTCTCCTTCCTCTATTGTTAAATGTCGGTGCAACCTGGTGATAAAAGAACCAAAGTCTTCTAACAAGACTCTCCCTAGAGCTCCTTACTCATTGATCTTTAATTCACAGTTCAAATTTAGAAAGAATCGCAAGCAGATTGAGATTGATGTAACCCCACTCCTCCAGCCTATAGTGGTTTCCAGTGAGAGAAATATTCACATGTCTGTCAATTTTACATGCACAAAAGACCAGCTGCAGCACCCTTCAGCTCAGGATGGATCCTTTACCATGCCTCTTCTGCCCCCCTCACTGATCTTATATCTGAATGACACAAGTGCTCAGGCTTATCACAGGTGGTATTCCCTTCACCATAAAAGGAAGTCTTCACAGGGTCCTGACCAGAAGAGTAATGTGGCTGCCTATCCCATGGGAGAAGAGACTGTCAAGGGTGGGAGATCCACCTGCCACCGGAGAGGTCGGGAAACCATCACGTCTCAATTGAAGAAGCCAATGGTTCCAGCTTCCTTCAACCTGAGTGAATACTTCAAACAGTTTTATTTCCCCCAAAATGAGTGTGAGCTCCATGACTTTAGAATTAGCTTTAATCAGCTCAAATGGGACAACTGGATTGTGGCCCCTCACAGATACAACCTTCGGTACTGTAAAGGAGAATGTCCAAGGGCAGTTGGGCATCGGTATGGCTCTCCGGTTCACACCACGGTGCAGAACATCATCTATGAGAAGCTCGACTCCTCAGTGCCAAGACCATCATGTGTACCTGCCAAATACAGCCCCTTGAGTGTTTTGACCATTGAGCCTGATGGCTCAATGGCTTACAAAGAGTATGAAGATATGATAGCTACCAAGTGCACCTGTCGTTAACTTAAGGTCCTCTAAATGAAAACCTTGAGCCTATTTAGCAAAGTAAGTGTTGTGTGCCTCTCTGCTCTCGGGAGAAGGCTTATGTGTCACATAACACATTGTAGAAATAGGAGCATATGCATGTTAGCACTTTCTGGGGCGTCTGTCTGAAGGGATAAGGTCAGTTGTTCCTACTTAGCCTTAATTTCAACACTTAAACGTAATTACTTTGGAGAGATTTAATTTTTTTCCCCTGAGCATTTTTTTCCTTTTCACAAGTGTTTTGGTTTTGATGGGAAAATTCTAACTTAGCATAAATCTAATGGAATTGCAGCCACAGATATTCAGAGAGCTTTAGTATTATGATAATGGAAGAATAAATTCCTGTCAATGGCATAAATTGTGTGTGTGTTATTAAATAAATTATGATTGGGAGAGAGGAAGCATGTTAAAAAGCTGACATTGGCTCAACTTTTGCTTTTTTTTTTTCCCCAGAGTGAAAGGGAGGCTAACCTCTCTGCCTGAATCTTGGTAAAGTGAAATTCACTAGGATTAGAGTATGCAGCAGAACTCTTTCTGTTGTCTTAGTGTGATTGGTGTACAATACGCTAATTCTGCTTATTAACTGGTGTATATAAATTGAGTCACGTAAAACCATATAACATTTGTCCCATTTGTTGAAGGGAAATTGTATTGCAGATTGTTTCAAGAAAATCTGTGTTTAAAATTTTAAAATGTATTTTCTTTAAAACTTTTGACCTTATGGAAGAAAGCCAAGAAGGTTGGTTGATGTTTGTTTTTTATTTGCTTTTTGCCTATTTCCCTCAGTCCACCCCACATACTTTTTCCAGGTGTATTAGCAGTGTTCCCACTAAACTAAGCTGGTAGTGACTGTCTTATTACTGAGCAGGCCTTATGTGGATCTAATGGCTTTTGTGTGGGTTTTCCCCTTTTTTTTTTTTTAATATTCTAGGGATTGAACCCAGGGAAACTCAACCACTGAAACATTTATCTAGAGATAGGGTCTTGCTAAGTTGCTGAGGCTGGCTTTGAAATTGTGAACCTCCTGCCTCAGCCTCCCAAGCTGCTGGGATGAAAGGCATGCACCCCTTCTCCTGGCTTTTGTGTGGGTTTTCACTGTCTCTTATCTTATGAGAGCAAAGATACAGAGTTAGGGCTAATGTAGTGACATTGTGTTTCAGAGTTTCTAAAACCCTAATCTACAAATCAAAAGTAACTTCTACATGCAAGAGGTGCTTTTTACTTTTGTAAAATGATCTTTTCTTGGTGCTTGTTTTTAGTTTGATTAGATAAGATTCCCACACCATATGATTTGCCCATTTAAAATGTACAATTCAGTGGTGTGTAGTATATTCACACACAGGATGCCATCACCATTGTTAATTTAAGTACATTTTTATCACCTCAAAAAGAAATTATTCCTTAGCTGTCCACCCTGGTTTCCTGTCCTGTCCTACCCCCAGCCCTAAGTAATCCCTAAACTATCTCAATAGATTACATTACTCTGTACTTTCACATGCATGGAATGAATTGCAATATGTGGTCTTCTGTGACTGGCTTCTTTCACTTAGCATGTCTTCAAGGGGTCACTTATATTGCAACATGTATCCGTACTTGTTTTCTAATGACAGAATATTTGACTATACCAAGTTTTGTTTATCCATTTATTGATACCTGAGTTTTCATTTTCTGCCTATTATACATAATGATACAAGTTTGTGTTTAATTTCTCTTGGGCATATACCCAGGAGTGGAATTTCTGGGTCATATAGTAACTCTTTAATCGTCGGAAGAATTGCTAGACTGTTTCCCAAAGCAACGACACTGTTTTATATTCCCACAAACACAGCATGAGAGTTCTGATTTTTCTATATCTTCTTAATGTTTGGCGTTTTTGATTCTAGCCATCCAAATGTATGTGAAATGGCATCTCCCTATGGTTTTGATTAGCATACTTACCTGATGACATTGAGCACGTTTTCACACACCTATCAGCCAATATGTCTTTGAAGAAATGTCTAGTCAGATCCCTTGCCCATTTCGTTTCTTTTCTCCAATCCACCTCCCACACTGGGGATTGAATCCACAGGCTCTTTACTACTGAGTTATATCTCCAGCCCTCTCATTTATTTTGTGTCATGGTCTCGATAAATTATCCAGGCCGACCTTGAACTCCTGCCTCAGTCTCAATTCCTGTGATTACAGGCAAGCGCTGCCATACTTAGCTCCTTGCCTATTTTTTCATTGGATTCTTTGTATTTCTGTTGTCGGATTGTAAGAAATCTTATATGTTCTAGATATAAGCCTTTTATCAGACATGATTTCCAATTATTTATTCCCACATGTTGCCTTTTAACTTTTTATTGTAAAATATGACATAAAAATTTACAATTTTAGCAATTGTAAGTATACAGTTTGTGGCATTATGTCCATTCACTGTTGTCCAAACACCCACTATCTGTCTTGGAAACTTTTCATCAACCAGACAAAACATTGTTTTTCCTTTTTTTTGTACCAAGGATTGAACCCAGAGACACTTAACCACTGAGCTACATCCCCAACCCTTGAATTTTTTGAGACAGGGGCTCTCTAAATGGCTTAGGGCCTTGATAGGTTGCTGAGGCTGCTTTGAACCTGCAATCTCTTGCCTCAGCTCCCTGAGCTGCTGGGGTTATAGGTGGGCGCCAACATGCCCAGCTAGACTAAAGTAATACTATGTGTATATATTTGTATCACATTTTGTTATCTATTTATCACTACATGGATTGTTCAGTTATTATGAATAATGCTATAAACATTTGTATACAAATATCTGTTATGGTGTCTGCTCTCAGGTTTGTTGCCATGCTAGGGATCAAACCCAGATCCTCACATGTGCTAGGCCAGTGCTCTTACCACTGACCTACATTCCCAGCCCTCTGATTTCAGTTCTTTTGGATCTATTCCTAGAAATGAAACTGATAGATTACTTTTTCAAAGAATTCTTTAATTTTTAAAAAAATATACTCCTTTCTAAAGTGGAAGTATCATTTTACTTTCTTATCAGCAATGCCCTAGGACTCCAATCACTCCACTATGTAGCCAGCACTTGCTATTTTCTTTTTGCTTTTTAAAATAATCACCTGAAGCCTGTGAAGTAGTATCTTGTCGGGGTTTTGATTTGTTTCCCTAATGACTAATACTAAGTATTTTTCATGTGCTTACTGGCCATTTGTATCTTTCTTAGAGAAATATCTATTCAGCTTCTTTTTCTATTTTAAAGTCCATTTGTTGAGTTTTAGGAATTCTTTATATATTTTTTAATATTAATCCCTTATGAGATATGATTGGCACATATTTTCTCCCATTCTGTGGGGTGCTTATTCACTCTACAATTCTTTGCACAAAAATTTTCAATTTTGTTCAAGTTCAATTTACCTATTTCCATTTGTTGCCTATGTTTTTTGGAGTCGTGCAAGAAATCATTGCCAAATTCAATGTGAGATTTTTACCTGTTTTCTTGGAGTTTTACAATTTTGGCTTTTATGTTTAAGTTTCTAATCCATTTTGATTAATTTTTGTGTATGGTATGAGGTAAAGATCAACTTCATTCCTTTGCCTGTAGATATCTAATTGTCCCAGTACTATATATACACACATATATATATATTCTCCCATTGAATGTTTTTGGCACTCTTGTTGAAAATTAATTTGGCCATGGGTATATGAATTTATTTCTGGACTCTATCAGTGATTTATATCCTTACTAATGACAGTATCACACCATTTTGTGACTGGTTTATAGTACATTTTGAAATATTCTATTTTTTTCAAGATTGGTTTAGCTATTCTAGGTCTGTTGTAAATCATAAATTTCAGACTCATCAATTTCTGCAAAGAAGTCATCTTAGATTTTGGTAGAGATTATTTCAAATCTATAGATTAGTTTGGGGACTGCTATCTTAATGCTTGTTTTCTATTATTGATTACTGAATCCAGGGGCACTTTACCAATGAGCTACATCCTCAGTCCTTTTTATTATTTGAGACAGGCTCTCACTAAATTGCTGAGACTGGCCTTGAACTTGTGATCCTCCTATATCAGCTTCCCAAGTTGCTGGGATTATAGGCATGTGCCATCACACTTAGCTGGTTTCCATCTTAATGTTAAGTCTTCTCATATAGGATGTTTTCACTTCTTTACATCATCCTTAAATTTTATACTTTCCAGAGCATATTTTGTACTTTTTGTTGTTAAACTATTTAATATTTTTTTTTAGTTGTAGATGGACACAACACCTTTATTTTTATGTGGTGCTGAGGATCAAACCCAGTACTTCACATTTGCTAAGCAAGCCCTCTACCACTGAGCTATACCCCAGCCCCTATTAAACCATTCTTAAGTATCTTTAAAATTTTATTTTGTAGAACTAGGGATGGAACCCAGGTAAGCTACATTCCCAACCCTTTTTATTTTTTATTTTGAGCTAGGGTCTCACTTAATTCCTGAGGCTAGCTTTGAACCAGTGATCCTTCTGCCTCCACTTCTCAGTAGATGGGATTATAGCCATTTGCCATCTTGCCCAGTTTTATTTTTATGTGGTGCTGAGGATCGAACCCAGCGCCTCGCACATGCTAGGCGAGCATTCTACCACTGAGCCACAACCCCAGCCCCTTAAGTATTTTATTTTTGATGATGCTATTGTGCATGAAATTGTTTTTCCTTTTTTTTTTTTAAATTAGATGAGGTCTTATTATATTGTCCGGGTGGTCTCAAACTCCTGAACTGAATTGATCCTCCCACCTCAGCCTCCCATGAAATTTTCTTAATTTCATTTTTGGATAATTGATGTTTCAAATGTTTTATGTCATCTGTCATTCTTGAATTATCTGGAGCCCTGAGCCTGCTTGTAATTCTAGCTAGTTGGGAGGCTGAGAAAGAAGGATCTCAAGTTGGAGGCCAACCTTGGCAACTTAGCAAGACCCTGTTTCAAAATAAATATAAAATAGAAAGTTTGGGGATGTAACTCAATAGTAGAGTTCCCCGGGTTCAATCCCTAGTATCACAAAGGGGGAAAAAATCTGAAACAGAAAGAGCATGAGTAATGGTGATAATGTGCAAGAGAATTTAATTGAGGGTAACCTCCCATAAATATGGCTGCTTTCAAATAGACCACATGGATTATGTTGGTTTATGGGATTCATCATTCAAACTACCATAACTTATTATTTTGTGGGAAACTATTGTTTGTATATTTTGTGTGTGTAGAGGGATTTTTTGTTTGAGACAGTCTTTGTTGCCCAGGTTGGTCTCAAACTCATGGGTTCAAGTGATCCTCCTGCCTTAGCCTTCTGAGTAGCTAGAACTATAGTCACCACTACCCCCCAATTTTTTTTTATTTAGGGTACCTTAGGGTACCATGGATTGAACTCGGGGGCATGCGACCTCTGAGCCACATCC